AGGTTCAAGTGCGACCCTCGGCGGGGGCGGGGGCTGGCGGCGGCGAGGGAGGGGCCGCGGGCTCAGGAAGCCAGCGCCTTTAAAGGGCCAGCGCTCCCGGGCCGCGCGCGGCGGGGCCAGCACTTCACGCCGGGGAGCGCCCCCAAACTTGTTCTTGTCCGTAGGACAAGGCTTTCACTTGGAAACTCAGAGGCTGCCCTGGATGAACAGGGTGGCCAGGGGCTGTGCGTGCCTCCTCTTGCCTTGCTACCCCAGTATTACTGAGCACGAAGGGACAGGGAGAAGCAAGCTGGGGGGCGTTGTGGGCAGCGTTTTGGGGGGATTCGGAGTGGAAGTGTTTTTCAGGGGAACGGATAGGTCTTTTGCCTCGATAGAGGATTGTGGATGATGCACCTGAGCTTTTTGTTGTTGTTGTTGTTGCCTTTCAGAGAGAGACAAGGAAAGACTGGAGGTGGGAGGGGGTAGGCACATCCCGAGGTGAAGACCCAGGGGCCCTCAGGAGGACGGCTAACCAGGGGTCCACTCGCGCGGGGCGCGTTGTCCCCTGTCCTACGGTTTCTCACTGCCACAGGTGGAGGGATCGATGTGAAGGCTCCCCCGTTGGACCAGACACCTTTCTCACTTCTTGCTATACACCATACTAAAGATAGGTCTTTGCCGCTCAGTTGTTACACCGCTGTGGTTTTTTACATGCACCACCATTCCTGTGGTTATTGTGTGTCAATAAGGTCTGGTTATTCACATCATAGTGAATTTTCTACAGGAGCCAGGGTTTATTTTATTTTTTTGAAAGATATTTTAGAGTAAAAGTGTCATTTCTAAACTCATTACTAGACATTACGTGTAATTTTACTAAATGTTTAAAAAGGTGAAGTGCTGCCTCTTAGCCCTGCTTAGATTTTAAGCACAAAATTGGGATTGTTTGTCAAATCCAACTTTACCTAACATTTGAATTTAAATACTTGATTGACTCACTCATCTATCAGGCTTACTACTTAAGCTGTTAGAAAGCATTTGTCTTTAACTTTTTTTTTTTTTGTGTATTCAAAGTACAGTGTGTACTTACATCATTCTTTTAGTCCTTGGAAATGGATACAACCTATTTCAACATGCTGAAGTGCTTTTCTTTAAAGATAGAGAAAGGCAATGTTAGGATATTTTTAGTGTTTTAGTTGTCTCTCTCAGATGGCATTGTCATGATATTCTTACTTTTAAAGACTTAAGCAGTTTTTTTTAAAGTAAATCCTAAGTTCAAACTACCTCCCTCCAACCATTTTATTAAGTTCTTTCTTGTTCTTTTTTTTTTTTTTAAATGCAAGTGTAGTTTTATTTTTATTTAAAAAAAAAAATTACTTACCAGAGCCAGGGGAGACTTGTTAAGTGTTAAGTAAGGACTGTGTGGATGAAATTGGAGGCCCAGTGGCAGCTCCCAGTGGGAACCTAGTGGGACTTTGGGGAGGGGAACAGGCTGCCTTTCTCAAATGAGTAAATGTTTCAGGTGTAATGAGAGTCGGTTAGTCCAAGTTATATTACAGCAAGTGCATTTTCAGTTTGAGTAAAAGGGTATTTTAAGAAGAAAAGAAACAGACTGAACTTTGTAACTCATAACTAGTCTTCTGGTTAGAGTTTTCATAAAAAATGGGTTACTTGTAAAACCAAGTTTCACTCTCAGATCTGAAAGACTCCTGTTTTAAAGATCCATAAGAGATAAATTTTAGTATAACATTTAACATAAAAATCTAGCTCTAAAGTGCAAATCAACCAAAACTTAACTGTTTTAGGACTGAGGAAAGGCTGCTTTGGAACAAAATATTTCCTGTGATTTACTACTAGGAATTAGACTAAATCTTTAATTAAATATAGTTTCTGGTGCTCTATTTCCTGGGGCCTGCCTGAGAATCTGAAAGTCATTTGCATAGGACAGGGTAGTTGGACTGCTGTTGAAGAGTTCAAAAACTTTGAAAATGTAGTTCTGTAGATAATTTAGCATTGGTTATACTGGAGGAATATGTGTTTTATATTTATGGAGATGGTATGTTAAATCTGTCTTATACTTGTTTAATCGGCTAGCACTGTGATAAGGTCACATAAAGTGGAACCTAACACTTTTGGAAAACCCAGGATCTTTAAACCTAGTACAATATTTATAAATAGTGAAACTTTATTTCCCTGGCTTGTTTTCTCTCATAGAAAGCTTCTGAAGCTTGGGAAGTGGTATTGTGGGTTCTGATTTTTATTTTTATTTTTTTAAATGGCAGCTTTCAGTTGACTTAATATTATTTGGAACACTTAATTTAGGTTAAAAGAATGTTTTGACTGTAAATTTAACACTTGCCAAAGAAATGTTTAGATTGTTTCATTATGAGATAGAGCAGATACTTAATTTGGGATGGTTTGTTTAGTTCAATCTATGAACTGACAATGCATTTTCTTAAGAGTTGAAAATTTATAAGTGTTCTGTAATTTGGGATTTTAATCTGCAGGTGAGTAATTTCAACTAGCCACAGAGATCACATTTCGAAATGGCTTCTTTCTTGCAGCAAAGTCATGTTCTATGTAATGACTCCAATGAGACTGATTTAGATTACCCAAGGCAGCTTTCTCGCTTGTCACTGAAATTACTTTAAAAACAATAACTTTCAAATCATTTTTATAGTTGGGCAAAAATTTTATGTGTATATTTGGGGAAGGGATAATGAAGAAAAAGAATTAAAAATGAGAGAAGAGATTATTATTTAGCTAAACCTTATTTGTTAAAGGTGGAAAGTTACATGAGTCTTGCTGTGGACATGTCTTACAGCTGAAATGTGTTGATGAGAAATTCCAAAATAGATGCCAAGTCTGAATACTTTGAGGAACATAAGAACTTCATTTTTATTTTTTACCTTTACTTTTATTTTGGCAAATCTTTGGTTGGGGAATGGCAGGAAGGGTGGCTTCTGTTTTTGAATGGTATCAGCTTTATTATTATTTTAAGTGTCGATTTATGAGTAATGAAAAGAAGGCATTTTAATTCTCACGTGAGAATTAAAAAGTGAGACTTGAAAAGTGCTGAAAGGGTGTCAACGTCAGTAGAGGACACACATTTCACTGGGTTTCATGCTGTGTACAGTGAATCTCAGTATGAGATGGGAGCGAGGGAAAGCATAGTTAAGCTCCCTGCTACATTGGAAAGGTTTTGCCTGCCCTTGTGCTTCTGAACCTTTCCATCCTAGCTCCTAAACTGCAATTTTGTATTCCGCTTTCTAAGAGAGCAGATGTTTGTATTTGCCTGGAATTTGTTCGAGAGAACCTGAACTATTTTTCTGGAACACTCTGCCTTTGGAAATTACCAAGTGCCCTGGCATCTTGGGAATTTACCAAGACGTTTTTTTTCTCTATGTATGCTATAGCTTTGGAGCTTCCTGGAATCTCTTGGAAAGGCAGTCTGAACCTCACAGTGATGGGAGGATGCTGAGTTTTTTCACTTGTATGGAAGATTGAATGGGTTTGCTCCCCGTACCCCCCACAATTCAAAATTTTCCTTGGCCTTTACTGCAAAACCTTGCCCAAAGAAACTTGCCCAAAACCCTAGGACTCCTTTGGATCAGAACATCACCTTTTCTTGAGTGCAGACAAACTTCTGAAGTTGGTGGTGGTCATTTGTGAAAAAGAGGACTAGGTAACCTTTAGAAAATGTTTCCTTTGATATCTAATGGGTTAAGGCTTATATTCCAGTGGCTGCATAGTATACAAATATACTTATGTGTGGAAGAATTCTTTGCTAATTGCTGATAAGGACTACCAAAAAATAGTGTCATAGAAATTCTTTGTCAAGAATTACTGGTTACTACTGGTTATTTGTGGTTTTCTAAGGAACATATGAAGCATGAAAATACCTTTTTTGTACAGTGGTGATGTGGTTCAACCTTTTTTTCTTTTAAATGTAGGGCCACCAGGTGGCATGGTGGTTAAGGCGCTGGATTCCTACGTAACTGACCTGGTTTGAGCCCTGTATCCTGTGGCTTGAAAATCATGTCGGTGTGTGTGTGTGTGTGTGTGTGTGCGCGCGCGCGCGCGCGTGCCAAAAATCTTGAGTGGGGAATGGAGAAGAAGGAATTGCTGTGTGACCATCCAGCCTGGGTGGTGATTTCTCACTTTCCCCCTCACTGTTGCTTGCAGGTGAGCACCTGTGTGCCTTATGGCAAAACCTTCACCTGACCCCCCACCCCAGCTTACTCACAGGCTACCTCTGGTTTACCAGTTTGTAAGTTAAGCATGGCAAGAATTGAGTCTTAGGGTGACAT